CTGGAATAAGAGGCGTTGGGCGGATTTGTGGAAGACTCGGTGCGTCTTGATTAGACTCAGCAGATCCTTTCGATCCACATCCTCGAAGATTTGGTCCAAGACGTCGTTTGAAAGCGTGGTGATTATGGGTTTGGACATGTTTCTGGAGACTGAAACGGCGGTTTCTGGAGGGTAAGATTGGGTATTGGGTGGGGTGGAGGGATTGCGGTTGCGCTGATGTTGATTCTCCCATGGAGGGGAAAGGGGACTTATGTAGCTACTCGAGCGAGGGCTTGCCCTTCATTCACACGACCCTTAGTAGTTACTAGCTGGACGCCCTCACTGTAAAAGTGGTGAATGTAAAAGTTGTACATTTCGTGTGAACCGATGTAAAGGTTCGTCGTTGTAGTCGCCCCTTTTGTTGTGATTGTGACTCCGGTATCTGCAGGTCCGCAAGGTGAATGCTCATTGTGTAATGTATGAAGCTGATGCGTTGAGAGATGCCAAAAGTTGCATTCGTTGACTATCACGTTGCCTGCACGCGAGGCCCCGGCGATGCATTCTTAAAATCCGGCTTGCCCCTGATCTGAATCGTCAATTCAATCCCTCTTTCCGCAAACGCCTTCTTCAACTCATCAGGCGGGTCCCAATCCATCGGCTCCGCACACCTGATGACCTTACCCCCCTCCCTGACCACATATTTCAGCTCCAGCACCTCCACCTTCTTCAAGCAAGGAAATTGCGAAGGATCAGCAGCGGCAATCTCGTATATCCAGTTCCAACACGGTCTCATTTTCATTTTGATTTCGTCGGACGTCATGCGGGAGCTCAAGAAGGCGGCACGGTATCCATCACCCACAGCGAAAATGGCCGCGCTACCACTAAAGTCTACTCGGAGCGAGGAAAGCGATGGGGGCAGTAAGTGGACGATGGAGGGGCGTACGTTTTCGCCTTTCCATAGAAAGCCCTGGCGACCTTGCATGGCCGAGTCTGAGAACCAACAGCCAGACGATATGTGTAGTCTTTTGAGGGCAGTGAGACCGGAAAAAGGCATGGGAAGAGGGATCCAGTCGCATCCCCATGGACTCTTTTGGTCCTCCAGTATCGTGAAGTCGGTAAGAGTTTCTGTTGCATAGAGCAAGCGCTCGGCCAAGGCGGCGAGGGTATTGCGTTGACACAAGTATATCTTGACGTCGAATTCTCGGAGTGTGATGTTTGGGTATTGTTGTGCGATGATGGGAGAAGCGCGAAGTATGCAGTCGTTGATGATGAGGCTAAGACCGATTTTTCTTGCCGGCCGAAGTGAGTTGAGCATATTCATGAGTTTCGCATAGTCTACCACGGCTCCGCACGTTTTCTCTACGAAATTTTCGATATGCTCCTGCTTGGGACTGTCGGGGAAGGGGCGGGCGTTGATTTTGAGCGTGACATGTTGGACCGCTGGAAGGAAATCCAGGATGTCCTGCAATGTGTTTTCTAGTCGGAATTGTGCCCGGCTGTCGAATACGAGCTCAAGATAGCGTATGGGTCCAATGGCTTTACCAGACGGTGTATGGGCCAGACAAAGCTCTTGGAGAAACTCTGTGCACGCTTCGTGTGCACCATTTCCGCGGACAAGGACTCTTCGAACGCAGTTGCGTACTGCATTTGCCGCTGGAGCGAGCTCTGGATAGGCCTTGCTGACATTTTCGAGCGTTTTGTGTTCGTCTACAAAGTACTCGAATATGGATGTGAGGATTTCGGTGGGTATTGTGGTGATTTTGGGGGTCGCCATGTTGTTCGTCTGTGAGGGTGGCTGCCTAGAGAAGACGTCGGATTTCAACAAGTTGCGCGAAAGAAACCTGAGGGTGTCCTGCAGCATATTATGCCGTGACTATCAGATGTTTCCAAGAGAATCCGTCAATGTAGGTGCCTAAGTACTTCATGCACATGGAGGTTGACGTGAGGCGGGATGCGCTGCTGACTAGCGTCATGGGCCGGGGTTACCTCTTTTGTTCACCGCGCTGATCCTAGCGCTGGCTTGTGGGCACGTAGTGTAATTAGCATCACTGTTCTGGTTCGAAAAGCGAGGTCTCACTCGCTTCAAGCATCTTGTGTTCCATGTATCTATTCGCTCGCTATCGAAATCGCCTAGTATATGCTACATAATGTGCCAAAAAAGCCTCCCTGCTTGTGACTATGTCGCCTGCAAAGCTGTAGATTATAATATCTACAATGTTAGCAGTTCAGTCCAGAACTATAGCCTTGTCGCAACTAGCAACTATCCATGTATAGCCCATTCTCCCCGCCTGCCAAATGCTGTGTTGAGAGACCCCGCTATGCTCTGATAGGTACTGTGAGCGAGATTACACCAAGACGAAAAGTTGCTCAGGATATGGATGAGGAAACGCCGGAATGTAGAAAAACAGAAAAGTGCCGTGAGGATCGGGTACAAAACTGAGGGTACGGTAGTCGTAATTGGGCGTGAGAAGGATCGAGAAATCTGGGTGACAACAGGACCGCGTCTATCGGCCACCTGCTTCGAGCTGTCCTGGAGTTGGCTGCTGCGAGACAGGGGTTTCTCCAGTGGCACCGGCGCCACGGTTGCGGCCGAACCAGCTTGAGAAGCCAGGGCCTTGAGTTCGGTTGAGCGCCAGCCTCGATCGCCATCCTTGGTTCTCGCCAGTCTGCCCTGTCGCTTGGGACGCGTTCCCAGCCACGCGCTCGCGGCGAGTAGGCCGATTCAGTCGCCCGAACCGATCACCACCTTGTCGCTGCTGGAAGTCTGAGTTGATGACCATGACGCGAGACCGAGAGAATGGGTTGGTGGAAGTCCAGACCGCCTGCGGTGGTGATCTAAGACCAGCAACTGAACGGCGACCAGTAAGAGGGTCAACTTCTCCTTCAGGACGGGGCTTCGGGACGTAGTAGTCGGCTTTGCAGAGAGGGCAGCAGGCGCGGCGACTCGTAAGCCATGGGTCGACACAGCTGGCGTGGAAGGCGTGGCCACAAGACAGTCCACGCACATCGTCGTCGTCTTCCAGGGTATCCAGACAGATGGCGCACGTGTCTCCCGGTTCGGCCAACATCTCGGGTGCAGCGGCAGTGCTGATAGGATCCTCTTCGTCGTCTGAGTCGTCCTCGCGCTCGCGCACGTTGGCCTGGGGTGTACCACTTTGCCCTTGAACGTTGTCTGTCTTCTCCGAGTTCAACTTGTCGTCAACCTGCTTCTCAAGGTCTTGCACGTGCTGACTCTTCCTGCTTTCGACACTTGTTCTCGGGGGAGCGACCGGGTCGGTGGATGAGGCTGGGGCGTTGAGGTCGTTGCGGGCCATGGAGAGGGCAGTGTCGGTTCGTGGTCCTGGACCTTCGTCCTGGGCACTAATGACACCTTCGACATCCTTCAAGCTGGCTGCTCTGCTCTGGGGTGCCGTCGCAATGCCGCCGTTAGCTGGCAAGCCCTCGGTCTCGCGACTTGACTTCCATTGCTTATACTTGGTCAGTGGGAACCGCTCGTTGACCTCGTCCATGGTCATAAGCTTCTTCTCCCTTCTCCTCCGGTGCGGGCGAGGCATGTTGGTCATGTCGATTGGCTCGCCATCTGCAGCAGCCTGGGCCGCGCGACGGCGATTGTATCGGAAGCAGTACTTAACACCAACGATAATCCTGAGCGCAGTCAGTACGAGGAGCAGCAGCCGAACCAACTGCCATTGCCTACCATAAGTTTGTGAAGACGACACCGAAACCCAGGGCAACGAAAAAAAGCAGCGGCGAACTGGTGGGCCCGTTGCTGTTGTTGTTGCTGCCGCTGTTGTTGGCGCCGTCTGTTGGGGTGGCCTGCTGCCGCGGAAAGAGCACAACGTTGGACATGGTGGGCTGCGACGAGGCTGCTATTCCATACGTCGGTATACTATCGCGCTGTCGTGGAGGACACCGAGTCAGCGATGCGCGAGTGAGGCCGGATGCGGAGAGCCTTGCTGGAGGTGAAACGGATCAGGAGGCGACTGGACACGACGGCGACAGAGTATCTATCGCGCGTGGAGTGGTTGCGATAAGTTGGAGGTGGCGGCGGGAGGGCTAAGGCAAGGGCCGGAGTAGGTGATGAATCGGTGATGGTGACGGCAACGACTGCGGGCGTGGCGATGGAGAGTCGGCTCCCTAGAGGCTGTAGTCGTTCGCAGTGACTGCCCGTGCCACAATCGCTAGCGGTGAATTGGGAACGGATCGTTATCGGCCATGCGATGCGAAGAGCGCTGGAGGTCAAGCAACAGACTCGGCGGGATGGTCAGGGAAGGGCAGTGAATGCGAGTGCGTGGCCGAGGGCTGAACGGGGGAGGTGCCGGTCTTCAGGCGGATAAAGGCCGCAGAGGCGTCGCTAACGTCGCCGGCAGGTGCCAAGGATGACCGGCAACCAGGCCCATCAATGATGACAGTAGGAGGTTAATGGTACGCCAGTGTGGCGTTTGGGGCAGTGGCGAGTGGTAGGTATGAGGTTGTTTGTATAATGAGGGGGAGCGTCGTGAATGCGCTGGGTCTTGCTTGCGATTCCACCATGCACATGTCACAGGCGCTGTCCGCGCAATGCACCCCGAAGCAGGGTTTCTGCTTTGGGCCGCATGGATGCCGTCGCATGCAGGTGCTTTCACACTGTAAATTGCTGACAGCCTGATGCGGTGATGCATAATCAACACGACTGCATTCACTCACTACTACAATTGCAACACAGTCTCAGTCTCACATCGCAGGACCAGAGTTCAATGTCGCAAGACAGGCCGTCTGCTCACGATTGCGTAGACATGTCGGATCCCTGCCCTTCCGGTGGAGTCTTCCCCGCTAACAAACTGCGCGTATCCACATGAACATTGTCCACCACTGGCAGCAGCCCGACTCCCCTGCTTCTGCACCATTGTCTCTGCTCGGCATATCTTGGAACCATCTGGACGGAACGCCTTTTTCACTTACCGTGCGACTCCCTCGATCATCACTGCCAAAGCCCGTCCAACGTCACTAGTCCGCTCTTCAAGCACTGCACTGCCGCAACCATGGCGGAGACTGCCGAGCCCAACCCAATCGTCTTCTTCGACATCACCCTAGGAGGTATGCATCCACCCATGTGACCCAGTAGTGGCTACCCCTCACCCCGCGCCATCTGCTACGCGTCTTTCTTGGCCTAGCCCACAGTTGGGCAAACGCCCGCGACCCGACCATGGTGACTGACATAAGCGAACAGGGGAGAAGCTGGGGAGGATCAAGATGGAACTGTTCAGAGATGTAGTCCCAAAGACTGCTGAAAACTTCCGCCAGTTCTGCACGGGCGAGACCAAGAACAGCCGGGGACAGCCGCAGGGCTACAAAGGCTGCAAGTTCCATCGCGTCGTAAGTAGCATCACAGTGCACTGTCTTTCACGTGCTAAGTAAACATAGATCAAAGGGTTCATGATCCAAGGCGGCGATTTTGTAAATGGCAACGGAACTGGCTCAAGAACTATCTGGGGGACTGAGAAGTTCGCCGATGAAAACTTCACCCTGAAACACGACAAGCCCGGTCTTCTATCCATGGCTGTAGGTTTTCACAGCTTATATGAAATCCTCATACTAACTATTGCAGAACTCAGGTCCCAACACCAATGGTTCCCAGTTCTTCATCATCACTGCGAAGAATGGCACCCCTCATCTGAACGGCAAGCACGTTGTCTTTGGCAATGTCATCGAAGGCATGGACGTTGTCACCAAGATCGAGAATACGCGAACAGTAGCCAACCCGGAAGGGAAGCCAGTGCAAGACATTGCCATTTCACAATGCGGTGAGATGTGAGCTCGTAGATCATACAACAAAAAGACGCCAATCCTCGAGGTAAGATGTCAGGTAGGATCCAGAGAATCTATTATAAGCCTGAAACGCATTGTTTGATCGAACGAAGCGCGAAGAAGAACAGTGCGTGGTGGGGCCAGCGCGAGCAACCAGTCTGTATCGACTTCGCGAAGCTGTGGTTATCCAATCCTGATACAGGCAAGCGATGGAGAGGAAAGTGAATACATTTCTACGATTTCAAATGAATCGCATCATGCGTTGTTGCAGTGATTGGGTGTTGGATCGGCGAACCATGGTGAACTACTGGCTTACCTAAGTGACCCGCTGAAATTCTCTCGGGCTCAATACTTCGCAGCACAGTCGCGTGCGTTCACCCCCGCTGTCCTCGCTGCCAATTTCACCAGCCCACCGACGGACGACAATCTCCCACACCTCGCGCTCCTGCTCAGATGTAAACTCTTCACCAACCACATTGCCCACAACATGGTCGCTCTTGCCACAATGAACAGGACTCTCGGCACCGCCGCCCCGAGCGCGGGCGGCAGCCTCAAACGCAAGCAAATCGACAACTCGTCCGACGCCGAGAACGCGACCTCAGACACGCTCAAACGCCGCCGAGTCACTTTCCACCCCGAAGTCAACGTGCGGATACTGAGCGAGCACCACGAGAAGAGTCTGGAGCTGGTGGGGGAGGAGGTGCGGCGCGCCATCGAAAGGCATGCGACAGGCGACAAGGCGGCCTACGATGGGCTCAAAGCCCTCTTCAAGGAAGCACCAACGTCCACAGGTGCACCGCTATCGCGACTTTTGCAAAAGTACCTCATCGCACTCACCGAACACACGCCAAAACTCGACGGCAACTGCAAGGGCCTGGTGCATGCCGTCATCGATTGCAGTTGGATAGCGCGTAACGAAGACTTCCTGCGCTCCTACCGAATGTTCCTGCGCAGGCTGCTTTCAGTGCAGTCGAGCTACATGTCGACCGTGCTGCAGATGCTGGTCGACATGTTCCTGAGTGCACCTTCCGTCAACGCCAGGCAGCAGGACGACCCACCGATCCAAAGAGTCCGCCTACAAGCACGCGTACACGAGACCCTCGTGGGCATATTACAATACAGTCCGATGGCGAGCTCCTTCCTCGCGCCCGTCATCTCTAGCACCTTCCCCTTCTCCAACGACACCGCAAAGGTCCACGTCGAGTACATCCGGAACATCTTCAAGGTCACAGAGTACGCGCCGGAAATCAGAGGCGAAATCTTGGCACTCGTGACGGACAAGCTATGCAAGATCGACGCGCAGATGCAGGTAGACATGGAAGAGATTGACGACGACTTGGAGGAGCGACTTATGGACGGGGCCATCAACGATGAGGAAGATGACGACGACGACGTGAGCCATGACGGCTCCGAATCCAGTGAGGAGAGCCTCGACCCGGAAGAGCAGCGACTCAAAGACATTAAAGACATGATGCTCAAGCTCGACACCGTCATGGACGTGCAATTTTCCTATTACGACTCTGTATTCGAACGGAACGACTATCAAGAGATGGATCGCACCTACCAAACCCTCATCGCGCAGTTCCAGTCCATCATCATCCCGACCTACCGCTCACGGCATACTCAATTCGTGCTCTTCCACTTCAGCCAGATCTCGACAGAATTCATGGGGCGGTTCATAGACACCTGCTCGCACCTGGCTATAGATCGGAACCGACCCCCGCTACTACGCTCAGCCGCATGTGCCTACCTCGCCTCCTACATCGCGCGCGGCGCTCACGTTCCTGGCTCCATTGTTCGCGACGTCTTCGACACACTATGCTCCCAGCTTGAGGACCAGCGGAAAGCACACGAGCCCAAGTGCATCGGCCCCGACCTACGCCGCTACGGCACATACTACGCCATCGTGCAGGCACTGCTATACGCCTTCTGCTTCCGATGGCGCGATCTCATCGTCACACCCGACGGCACGTTGCCCACCGACGCAGACATCATGTACCACGAAGGCGACTTCCAGTGGCACCGGTCGACCCTCGAAACCATACGCCGCAACATCTTCTGCAAGCTGAACCCACTCAGAATCTGCGCACCGGAAATCGTCAAGCAGTTCGGCCGCATCGCCAAGCACCTCCGCTTCACATACATCGATACGCTGGTAGAGACGAACAAGCGTGTACGACTGTCCCGCAGTCTGGCCAGTGGGTACCTCAACGGTATCGGCGGCCGAGAAACTGCTCTCACAAGCAAGAAGGGCGAGGAGGCCTTCCTTCTGGACGCATACTTTCCTTTCGATCCATACGTGCTCCCACGGAGCAAGCGCTGGGTCGAGCACGACTACGTAGCATGGCGGCCGGTACCCGGTATGCCCGTCGAGAAAGACGATGACGACGACGAGGATGAAGAGGAGGACGACGAGGATGAAGACGATGACGAAGATGAGGCTGATGACGACAGCGACAGCACATCAGAGGCGGAATCCGAGGACGAAGATGGCGTCGCAAACCCCGACGACCTTGACGACGGTAGTACGGAAGCCAGTCTATGATGAAATCTCTTGTGCATTGCATTTACGGCGTATATTGGGAGCGGGAAAGTATCAAGAGCAGCGATTTCCTGCTCGGCGCCGGTCAGGGAACAAAAAGGGGCATAGCTTGGGAGCGTCTCTTTTATGATTGACGGCCTGCTTCACATATGGCTTGGGTATCTTTGTTGGTTGAGCTTTTTTTTTACATGTATGATTGAGCGTTTGATATTTGGGTCAGCTGGTTGATTTGCCTGGTAGAGGCACATTTACCTTTATACATACTCGAGAGAGAATGGAATGAAAAATTTGATAATTAGAACTACTCGGTTTGAAGCTTTGCTTGTTGGTGACGGTGAGACTGGCGTTATCACCCATCAATGCTCATGTTGTGGTCACGATGGAGGGGCAGGCTAAAAATCTCTTCATGTTCCAATTGGAATGTATCCCGTCCTTGTATATCCTTAACGGAAAAGGACAATCCGGATGAACTTCATCAAAGACCCAGCCCACCTCCATCCAGCAAAGACTGCTTAGTATCGCCCAACGCCTCATTCCCACAACCAGCATCATTTCATCGTAAATTCATGCAGGCCCCCTCAGCCTAACAGTCCCCCCTCTCATCTCCTCATCCGCACCCTCATCATCATCCTCGCCTTCGCCTTCCACATCCTGTAACCGCATCGCCCTCAGCAGGTCCCTACTAGCCCTCGTGCCGTCCCTCAACTCCACCGCACTCTTCAGCAGCATATCAGCCATGACCCTTGCATCCATGTCCACGCCCAACAGCGCCTCCACCTCAGGCCCAGTCGGAACGGGGAAATCGACGAGCGGCTTCCCATTCGGACCGACGCTGACGGTGGTGGACTTGCGGCTGTAGCGCGGGGCGTCTTGTTGGTCAAAGTCTGAGGAGGAAGAGTAGGTGTTGCCGTGGTGGTACGAGTCGTCGGTGTCGGAGTCGAGGGTGTAGGTGGTGGAAGTGAGGGTTGTGGATGTAGAGTCGGTTCTGCGCGAGGAACGGAGGGGGGCGGAAGCTTGGCCCAGCGGACGACGTTGTGCGGCGAGGTTGAGGCGCTCGAATGTGTCCCAGAGGTCGTCTACGTCTTCTTCTTCGAGCGAGGTGTCGGTTGTCACGCTCATGGGAGGTGATTGGTCGTCGCTGCTTAGTCCGTAGGCCATGTTATGTGACCAGCCGTCCCAGATGATCTGCTGAGAGCGCTGGTTTCCGCGGTGGTATTGGCCGGAGCTGGGTGCTGGTTTCGCCTGTGACTGTACCTGGCTCGCTGAGCTGACGCCTCGAGCGTGCATGCTGGGGTGGTGTGGGTCTTGATTTGTAGGATGGCCTTGCTCATCGTATTGCTGAGGTGTTAATAAGCCCGGGACGGCCTGGTTCGGTTCTGATTGCGACTTCATGTGGAAGGAAGCGCGGTGGTTGTTTTGTGATAGCTGTACCTGGTCCTCAAGGTTGAATGGGTTGTCATTCATGCGGTCGATTCCCGCTGTGACGATATCAGAGCCAGACGTAGATGGACGGTAGTCCTGCACCATGGCCATATCGAGGTCGATCATGGACGAACGAAGAGGGGATCCAGGGGCAGAGCTGATCATCTCGGGATAGTCATCAATAGGGTCAACAGGCGCTGTTTGGGCGTGTCGGAGGGTTGGCCGGAAACCAGACGCAAGAATTGGTGAAGATGAGTCCGTCTTCGTGTGCTGACCTCGCCGTGGCTCCTTCGGGCTACCCATGGGGAAGGCAAAGTCTTGAGTCTTGCGATTATCGTCCTGCTTGGGGAACGTCCACTCTTTCGTCTCGCGTCGTCGAGAGATCCGATTTGATGCGCGATTCCTGGGCTCATTATTGGCCTCCGCCATCGCTGCGTCAAATGTCCATTCTACTGTGCGTCGATTTGGCTTCTGAGGTTGCGCCGGAAAAGACCATTCCATGGTCTTGCGATTAGGCTGCTGTTCAGCAGGAAACGACCACTCCATCGTCTTTCTGTTTGGTTGTTCCGAGGGGAAGGACCATTCCATGGTTTTGCGATTCTCGTCATTCATGCTGGGGAATGTCCAGTCTTTCGTGGCTCGTTTAGTCATCTCGTCTTCTTCATTGAAAGCATCCCGGCGCTCCTCTTCTTCCTCCATCTCACGTATGATGCTCTTCATGCGGTTCGCGCGGATGGTCGGCACCTCACCCAGATCGATACTGGGTATCTCATCTGCTGATGGCATCGAAAAGTCCAGGTCAATGACGGTCTCGCGGTTGGGCGCGCCAGGATTGAAGTCGCGTAGGACTAGATCGGAGGGAGGGCGACCATTCGGAGGATCTGGCATATCGACTGCGCTGTACCGGTATGGTGTCGTGTTCGTATCGAATAGCTTGTTCAGACGTTTCTGTCCTCGGACGATAGATTCCTCCTTGAACCTAGCCTGGAGCTGTTCGAATCGTCCCATATCTGCTATCGGTGGTAGACCCATTCCGTTGAAGC